TGTGTGTGTGTGTGTGTGAATGAACATGAGTGTTATAGTCTAAATTGTCCTAGACTGCCAGCCATTGTCGAAGTGCAAAGTGGTCACCGTTTGAGAGGTGGTCCTCTTGAACAGTCTTATTAATTATATTTTTTTTAAAAACACGCGACAAAAGTGGGAAATGTCCTTATCCTCGCCTATTATGACGACGGTAACGTTCAACACACCAGTATTCCACACAGTTGAAAAAAATAAAGCTTTTCGGTCACGTGAAAAAGCTGTTACTCTTTCTGTACGAACGTCTGTTTCTTGTGTAAACTTCATGGCCACCATTAATAGGTGCCTAATTCGCATAGCATATATCATCCATGTACCTCCTATCATCTTCATCATCAATCTTGTACAAAAAGCATTTCTCAAGATCCCTTCAGCCTGTACTATACAGATCATCGTACCTTGCTTAAACATTATCATTGTGTGGGTCTGTTTGTGAGTGAAAGCTATTAATAGGGTATGTGTGTGAGAGAGTATGAGAGTAAGAATATTATGTTTGGTGAAATACAAAAACAATATGCAAAAGCCAAAAGTCTAGACAATAAAGATTAATCATATCTTATCTTATCTACAAATTCCCGTCAGAAAGAAGGTCAAAAGAATTATTCAGATCAACCATGCATACAAAGTGCCATTTTACACACAAATCTTATTTAATTCTGCCACTGTACCCAAGTAAATAAATGCCTCTGAGCATACTCAGTTTGCAAAGTATTTCTTCAAGTACCATCCATATTCGAAACTCGCCTGGTAAGTGAGAAAGGGTAATGGAGGGTGATGGGGGAGAGGCTTTGAAAAAAAAAAGGGGGGGGTTAGCTGGTACTTACTGCCTTCATCATCACTGTCTGTTCAGGGACCAAGGCAGTAATGAAGAATGTTGAGTATGTAATGGGTAAGAGCATGGGAGGGACACATTAATTGGAACTTTGAGCATTATCAACAATTGATTGGTCACGAAAGATTTCTCAAAGATGCAACTAAGCTATGAATAAGGTCCAGCCTGAATTGCTTACATAAATGTCTGTCTTGTTAGGACAAGAAAAGCTTAAATACTCATTCATTTTCTAATACATGAATATTTTACATAAGAAACAAAAATGACGATTTTAAAACCAACTTCCTTCTATCAATGCCGGTAAATTTATCCACAACAGAGAATTTAAAAAAAGGCTTCTAAAATACTTCTGACACATTTATTGTGTTTGCTACCAGAAAAAGGGTACACAATGAACAATTGACAAAAGGTAAGGGTGTGAGACTTGGAAAAGAAATTTCAAATGGAAAAGAAAACAAAGTGAAAGAATGTCTCAAATCTACTAAATGAATTAAAAACACAAAGAAAAGAAAAGTATAGAAACATTTACGGGAACAGATACTTGGGGGGAGGAGAGGAAAGTGTTGAGGGGAATAAATACTGAGGGGAGAAGAAGAAAGTGTCCAGATTTAAATATAAACAATACACAATTAGTAAGCATTAGTAAGAAATAATAATCTCCACAAGACTGAAAAATGACAATAAATTAATAAATAAAAAATACAGCAATCTTTCTGCCAATTTGAGCAACCCCCCCCAAAAAGTGCAAAAAGCACAATGAAAAAAAATAGACAAATGAAATGAAAACAAGTCTTGCTGCCTTACATTCACACAGGAAAAAATAAGAGAGTATGGCTGACTGCCGTACGATTTCAATTTACATGTAGAAAAATCAGAGCAGATTCCAAAATTGCAAATGAAATGGTTAGAAAATTTTTTATACAAAACGGAGTGCTAATCTGACTTACGAAGGAATTTTAAAAGAGCGAATCTTAAAGTCATATATCCCTTCAACAAAACAAAAAAAAGCACACAATGAAGAGCTCTTTGTTAGGAATATTTTACCTTCTAGTGCCCCTTTGAGCGATCGCCCGTCCTTGTCCGTGGGGATGAGTTCTCGAACGATGGCCTTGTCTCCCTCACCCCGAGCAAACCACTGGTCAACAAAGAACCAGTAGTCCTCTGTGTCCTCCTCCTCATCCTCTTCTTGGACAGCGTCCAGTTTGGACCTGAGACATGAGAGAAAATAAGAAGTGTCACCAGCTGGGAGTTCCAACCACTCATTGTGGGGTGGCAGACCATGATGATACCTTCACCTATACTTTAAGTAAGAGTTTTACGGCACTTGCAACACAATAAGATCATATAAGTGCTGAAGATTAGAGGTGTTACAAGAGAGTACAATAACAAACACAGAAGTAGGAGAGAAAAGGACCACAGATGTTCGATAAGAAAGAAGGAGCAAACCCCACCATAGCGCCTACCAACCCCCCCACTCCCCTAGTCTACTTGGAGTACTGTGTCAGCTTAATGTGAAGACACGTGCAACTCCAATCAGAAAGGATGCAAGGCTAAACATTACATATTTAATTTTTCTTCTTATTATCATCAGTATCATCATCATCATCATCCTTGCCTTTCTCACCTTGGATCAGGGTATAATACCATGGAAAAACACAAACACTTTCCATATTCTCTATCCTGGGATACCTTCTTGACATTATTCCTGGTCTTTCCACTTTTCTGTACATCATTCTCCTTGACACTTCTCCAGGTTCCAGGTGGCCTTTCCCCAGTTTCTTACTATAGTGCATAGATAACATATGCCCCAAATACCACTGACCTTGACCCTCTGTACCCCTTCCTACGACGGCCTGGCGTGGACGATGGGCTACTGGAGTCGGAGTCTTCGTCTGACCGGTGCAGAGCCAGGATAGATTTACGGCGTTCATGGTCAGAGAGTTTCTTCTTTTCTCTTTTCTTCTGAGGCAGCTGTCTTTGAATCAACATCTGTCACAAGGAAAGAATCAAAAAGAGCTTGTCAAGCACTTCTTGGCACAAAATCAGTGAAGGTTGCCCAGGTACTATAGGATCAATAACAACAAAAAGTTATATAAAAGAGGAAAAAAAACCTCCACAAAACTTAAGAACATTAACATCCGGTGAAACAAAATTAAGTAAAAAAACAACAACAAATCCTCATGCAGGAGAGAGAGAGAGAGAGAGAGAGAGAGACAGACAGACAGACAGACAGACAGACAGACAGACAGACAGACAGACAGACAGACAGACAGACAGACAGGCAGACAAACAGACAGACAGAGAGGGAGAGAAAGAGAAAGAGAAAGAGAAAGAGAAAGAGAAAGAGGTAGACAGATATAGGGATAGAGAGAGATTGCATGAATGCTACCACTTTGGTATGTTAACAGAACTATATGACTTTGCTAAAAAAAATGTAGCACAAAATCATTAGTGGTCTCAAAAAGGTTTATTCTTGCATCAACAGACAGAGATAGCAGGCTACATGACAAGAGAAATATACAGACATTCAGAAACATTCCAACTCTACAACTTAAGGCAAACCCTATAACAATTGACATGACAGTACCTTGTCCAGGTACCAGCCAGAGAACATTCCAGTCCCGTCGTGACCAATACGGACTTTCTGCAGACGGCCAACATCTGGAGCCTCGATCTAGGAGACAAAACCAAGGGCAATTGAAAAAATTTCTACTTGTTATTGAATCGATAACAACATACAGATAGCACTTACCCAAAACTTTCTAATTGCAATACGAAAATACCGCAATCAAACATGCGTCTTTATGGGTTAACTCACTGACTTACATATAAAACATACTTATTGTTGATTCAAGAGGAAAACATTATTGAACAAAGCTGATGAATTCCCTCACACAACAGAAAGTGACAGAAACTAAATATGCATCTGCAGCCTATGAGACAACTCAGTCATTTATTTATAAAACATGCTTATTGTTAATTCAAGCAAAAATATAAGACTGAGCACAGCTGGTGGATTCTCTTGTGTTGTTCGTATCTTTCACTTCTATTGAGACCTGACTTTTATTTTATCCCTTCCCTGACATAATTTTTATGCAGTTATGGGTTTGATATCCAATTTCTTTTCAGTGCAACTGAAAATAAGCACCTAATGAGACATGTACTGATTCCTGAAACAATCTGAAACATAATAATTAACGAAAAAAGACGGAAAAGTGTTGCCTTAAACTGTCCCTGACAAAGCATAACCATTTTCTATATCGCGTTAACTCCACCCACCAACAACGCAGCGTAAGTCTGAAATGGCCTAGTATGGTCTGACCTTCCCCTTATTCTCAACATAACCAAATTCCCCATATATACCTAGCCAAATATGGATGCTTTTGGGCTCAATAGCCATTAACTACGACTCAGCTCCACTCAACAAAACATTACAAAATCTTCTGACCTTGAACTTGTCCACTTGACCTTTTTCAAAGTTGTCTGTTTTGTTTCGGAGGCTGATCTCCTGTGTCTTCCCATCCTTGCCATACAACTGGAGGAAAACGTTGGAGTCCGTCCCTGCTCCGCTCTTTGTGCCAGTCCAGATGGTGACTTCGTAAGGAATAGCTGTAAACAAAAACAAAAAAATCCCCCAAAAATAAAAGACTTCATACAGCTGGTGTCTTAAAAATAGCAACACCAATAACACTTTGAGCACCTTCTATAAATACCCCCCCACATAAATCCTGCTTTCTAAAGTAAGGAATTTCATGCAAAATGTGTAGAATGACGTGTACTAATTTGACCTTCATCACAAAAACAGGAAACCAATTTTAAACTCAGAGATGTAAAGCATGTTTAAAAACTGTTTTCAGGAGAATAAAAAACGTGCAAGGCATACTCATGTTAACAAAATAGCATCAACAAATTATAAGATGATATATTTCATGACTACAAAACCAGCAACTTTCACACGCGTTTAATACTTTTGCTTAAAAAACCCCCCCCCAACACATATCATACAAAGAACAAGCACAATACATTCTGAATTAAAAACAAAACCAAACAAAACAAAACAAAAACAACAAACAAGCCACTTACTCTTCTCAATCTCTCGGGTGTCGGATGGCTCAATTTCCACCTCTGTCTGTTTGTCTCCCTCTTTATCTGACAGCCAGCGATGGCAGGCAAACGTGTAATGCTCTCCCTTTGATGGCACATCGATGCGCACCTCATCCAAAAACCAGGCAGAACCAATTTTGCTGCGATCATGGCCAATTTTGATTTTCTTAATCTGAAAAGCATACCAAAAAGATTTGTGGACACAAAGGAAAATAAGACTATTTTTTATAACAAATTGTTTGAAGGATGAAAATGGAAAGAAAAATTCTAGCACATAGTCTGCCACGCATCAACTTTGTTCGGCGTAGGTCAAGCAACTGAACTGGGATGAGGTTTGGCTAAAAAGAGGTATTCATTATTTTCTTCACTGTCCCCCCCCCCCCCCTCCTCTCCCGCCCTCTCTTCTTAATTCCCATCCCCCTCCTTCTTGCCCCCCACCCCCACCTCCCTGCTCTCACTCCTCTCTTTCAATTACAAACTGTTAACCCCTCCCCCCCCTCTCTCTCTAGCTACTTTGGCCCATTTCTTAAACTTCCACATACATTCACAAATCATAAACAGCCCTCCCCAGCATCTGTGATGTGGCATTTAGGCGCTTTGCTGCCACAGGCAGGAGAATCAAGTTCGATGATTCCCAAGCGGACAGAAAATTTTTATCAAGTGTCTTAGTCTTTCTGCTGGGATGTATCTCTTTAAAACCGGGTTGGAAGCCCGCCCCACTAAGTGATCTAAATTGTGTTAATGGAGGCATAAATACACCTACATAAAAAAGAGCCCTCATTCCACAATTAAACAATAAAATACTCCTTTTCAGTATTTCTCCCTGACACTCTGTATCAAAGTGATTGATAAATCGTGTCACTGACCTGTAAGGATATCATCTTGAACTAAGCCTACATGAGTCTTGTATATTCATAACACTGTAAGCCTAAGGACTACACATATTGTGTGATAATAATGGCAAAACGGCAGCTGGAATGGATTATATTTTCACTTGTTGATCTGAAAAAAAAATTAGCTAAATTCATAACTAAATAAATAATTATGCATATCTGAGAAAAACACACTTTCAGGACATAAAGCAAAATCTTTTCTGAAAAGAAAAAGAAAAAACATCATCATCTCACCTTTCCAATGTCTGTTGCTTCCAGTTTGAACAGGTCTGTCCGTCCTCTCTCAAACTTGTCCCATGCATTCTCCGACTGTCGCAGCTGCAGACTCCCGGTGTCCTCTTTGGTGCCGAAGATTTTGAGGAAGACGTTGGCGTCAGTCCCAGCCCCTCTTACATCACCAGTCTTGACAGACACCATGTACGTTGTGGCTGAAATGTATCAAAGTATGGCACTCTAATGTTTCTTTGAGAAAAGAAGCAAGAAAGAAAGACTAAAGAACAGAAGGTGCTTAACTGTTAAAGGAGGAGTGGTGACGTAAAAAACAATGATAGGGAGCATGTTGGTTCATGTTGAAAAGATAATGATTATTGGAAGTGTAGCTGTAAGGTTTGGATAAAAGTTTTGTCTAATCAAAATTTATGCCTCTTCTTACAACACATTGGATAATGATATGGGATTTCTTTGAAACGTGTGCAAAGTAATCCACTTTGTTCAGTTAAGTTTATAACTTACTTCTGATTTTGCTTTTGCGTACTAAAAGACAAAATCATAATGAGAAAGAAAAAGAAACAGAAAGAGAGGGAGGGGGAGAGAGAGAGAGAGAGAGAGAGAGAGAGAGAGAGAGAGAGAGAGAGAGAGAGAGAGAGAGAGAGGCAAAGAAAAAGAAAAGAGAAGAACACACTATAAAAATAACTCACTACTCAGCATTTGAGCTCCTGAAGCAGTGATCTCCCTCTCTATGAGCCCATCATCTTCATCTTCGGCCAGCCAACGGTTACAGTTGAAAGTGACCTCTTTCGTGGAGTCCGACCTGTCTTTGGGGAACACAACCACCTTGTCCAAGAACCATCCCGCTCCGGGTCCTTTCCCATCGTGTCCGATGCGGATTTTCTTCAGCTTGTGCAGAGTGACGGCTTCCACTTCAAACTCATCCATCTAAAAAAGAAACGGATAGCTTAGCACTTATAAAACAAAATCCTGTATCAACTCGATTTTCAAGGAGCTCTTTTTAATTAACATTTTTCAATCAAACACACCATCTCACTCCCTCCCGTGGGACAAACAGCATTATAGCTTGTTATAGAATATACCCTCTAGCACTCACATCGCTACTGATGGCCAAGCAAGCATTTATTAAAGAATGGATAGAAGAGAACAGGATATAATTCCTTTCCAGACAAAAATTTGCCTGGCTGTGTCTTAAACAATTCTGTACTTGCAACTACTAGACGGTCAATGGTAGATGAGAAAATAGAACGAAACCACATTTCCAAAGCTCATAGCATTCATTCAATGCTATTCCACAAGATCAAAGGAACCTGATTGACTAAACAAGGTTGACAATTTTTGCAAGCAAAAACTGATGATGTAAGTTGCAGGTAAAAAAGCTGCACTCTTGCTTTGTGATCATCTCAACTTCGGTGGTATTGTGCCAGGCCGTGTTTGGGGGATCCTCGTTTCAATCCCTGTATAGAACATTCTTCAACTTGGGATGCTTGAAAACTTGAAAAGTTTCTCTTTGTTAAGTTTTATTGGGAATAACGCAAACAACCACACTGTGTTGAAAGACTGGGGTTTTCATAACAAGCCCTGCTGCTATTGGCCTACAACTGACATATATTCTGAATGAACCTTCTGTCCATGATGTCATTGCTGTTTTGAGGAATAAAAACAAAGATGAGATGATGCCAGTCTTCTTGACAGTCTACTGCCATGTTTTTGTTCTGTTTTGCTTTTTTTGTTTGTTTAAAAAAATTAATTTTCATTTGACAGTCTACCACAGGAGCAGTCTGACAATTGTTCAACTTGACAGTCAGCAAGTCTACTGCAACGCACAGCTCTAACCCTTATCCTGTCATTGGAATATGCAGGGTAATAGTAGATTCGTAGACTGCCAGGTGGAACAACTGTGAGACTGGTTCGGTGGTAGACTGTCAAGTAGAACAGAAACATTACAGTAGACTGTCAAGTGGATTGGCATCCAAGAGTTGGCAAAGAGACAAAACTCATAGCAAACGCAGAAAAAAAATTGTCATACAAAGGTCCGTCTGAGTATGTCCACCAAAACTGATCTCTAGAGATGTAACATGGGCACAAAAGAAATACTAGTAGGTATGTGCCTATCAGCCTGCAAAGTTGAATATCTCCAAAAGACTGAAACAATAATGAGGAAAAGCCGAGCCATTTCAATATGAAAAAAAAATCCCACTGCATATCCGGGAACGTCTTTAATAAAAAAGAAATGGCTATCCAGGAGGAAGGGATGGGAAAAAAATGGGTGTTGTTGACAAAAAAGGACTTCTGTTAATGATAAGTACAAGAGAAAAACACTTTTTAGAAATAAATACATCAACATCAATTTTTTTAAAAAGTATAGCAGATTTTGAGGGTGATTACTGAGTAAAGATGAGCTGGATAACACTGCAGCCATCACTTTGTTTCTAGAACACTGGTTCAGGAAAAATATGTCCTATGTGGAGGCTGCGAGTCCAGCACATCAACATCTTGTGATTTTTCTTTGACTTTGATAAGAACAGGATATACACTGGCTATTGCGGTTATTGTTCAGTTTTGTAAAATTTTGTGTACATGTATTTGTTTAGTTAAGATCTGTATTTATGCTTCATTGATTATTCAATGCCTTTTGATAAAGCTAGATGTGATGAGCTATTTTGAATTTTGGAAAAGCTAAACATAGATGGAAAAGATCTAAGAATTATTAGAAATGTGTACTGGGACATAAACGCTGCTGTAAGAACTATGAGGGAGAGTACGGCAAATATAAGCACATCAAGAGACAAGTAACGGAGGGATGCATCGTGTCACCAGGTCTCTTTAACTTGTACAGTGGAAATACAGAAGAATGTTAATAAAGAAAATATCAACAGCATCAGATATGCAGTTTTGATTGCTGATTCAGAAAAGGACCTTCAATTACTTCTAGATACTGTTGTGACGGAAAATTAAAGTAAATGGTTATTGTGGAATGTGAAAAAAGCAGAATGCATGTTAACATCTAAAAAAGCAGTAAACCGTGGTTGTAATCTCATAATCAAAGGTGAAAAGATTTAACGAGTTCAACAGTTTCAATATCTTGGATATATATATATATATATATATATATATATAATTAATTCCGACTGCAAATATTCCACAGAAATAACGTGAAAAAAACTATCAACTGGGTTCTAAAAGACAATGTGTGGTCAACCTTCTAGACAGGTGTGAATGCTGGTCACTTATCAAAGATAGTGAAAATTAAATAGAAGCAACAGAAATGTGGTATCTTGAGGGACTAGAGAATTTTACGGACAGAAAAGAGATCAAACGAGAAAATACTGAATGAAGCCCATGTGGGCCGCTCATTAACAAGAACAAATTGGAAGTAACAAATGCAGTTTCTCTGACAGCTGACTCAACATAAAAGGCTTTGAACATCTTGCTTTCACAGGAAAAATAGAAGGCAAATAAGGCAGGGGTAGACCATGAGAACCATGGAAAACCTGAACAAATGGATGAAAGAAACACCAGGATAATAATGGAGGATAAGAGCATCCAAGGGGAGAAATGAATGGAGAACTATGATCGATGATGTCTGTTTCAGATCTGACACTTCATGATGATGATTTGTTTGATTATTTTGTTGAGCTTTTTAAGGGGGGAAAGGATAGAAAGGGAGGGGGCAGTGGTACAGGACTGGGCAATCTTCTAGTAGTGTTGTGTTTGTTGTCAGCCCAGGAGGGGAAAGCCCAGTCACCAAGCTGGCTGGGTCCCTCATAAACTGTATGTTTCTTTAAGCTTGGCAGTCACCCACAACGTCCCAAGACACTGATCCACTTAAAATAAGAATCTCAAGCCCAAATACTTCAGAGACAGTGGTGACAACAATGCGAAAGAAGTAATCCAGAGAAAAAAGAGCAGCAGTTTTACATGATCCTTGAAATAGTACATAATATTATAAGACGCAAAAGCATGCAACATGTGAACAATATTGTAAAAAGCTTCGCTGATGCCTACACACAAAGCCTCTCTGATGCATAACCATATAAACAAAGCTTCTCTGAAGCTAAAAATCAAAGACCGTGTAATCTAAGATAAGCCATTTCTGTTGTTTTCAACAACTTAACAGAAGGGCACTAGATGGCCACTCCGTAGTCAAGCAACGCCTGTGACTAAAATGTTTTTCCTTTTCAGACAGCATTATCGAACAGAAATCAATCCACAAGCCTTCAGCTTAACACAAGGGCACTAGATGGCCGATAGAAAAAAAACAACTGTTAACCAAAGTATATGTGAGGCAGCGTGGGGAAATCAGACGCTTATCAAAATAGCGAAATCGGAGGAAACAGACATTTTTCCGCCAGTTTGGAAATTTTTATTGATTTTTTATTTTTTGGCTTAACTTCTTTTATGTCTAGATTCTATATAAGAACACATTTCCATGTGAAATTTACTGAAAAACATTGATAAAACAAAACATGCCATTTTTCAGCTTTCAAAGACTCTTTAGCTATTGGAGTAAACAAACATTGGCGTCCATTTTCTCGCTAATTTCGCCACTGAAACCAGGCGACCTCACTTCCTTCAATTGCAAGTATCTTGAGTTCTATTCAAGATAAATGGATATTTGTTTCATTAGAAGCGAGGCAAATAAATCAGCTATCAGATGATACCAATAACTCCACATGCCCAAAAATTGACTAGCCCCTGATTCCACTGCATTGTAATACACATATGTGAGGCAGCATGGTGGAATCAGGCTCTCGTCAATTTTTGGGCACGTAGAGTTATTGGTATCATCTTAAAGATTGTTCACTTGTCTTTATTTGGACGAAACAAATATTCATTTATTTTAACTACAAGTCGAGATATTTGAGAATGAAGGAGGTGGGGGTCACCTGTTTTCAGAGGTAAAATTAGTGAGAAAATGGCCTCCAAAGATTAGTTATTTCCTTAGCTTTAGAGTCCGTGGTAACTGAAAATGTACATTTTTTTGTGCCTTTAATCAATGTTTTCTAAAAAATCCACACATAAATGAGTTCTTTAATGGGCTTGAAAGGTGTTGAGCCCAAAAACAAAAATTTGATAAAAATTCACAAACCTTCGGGAAAATGCAAGTTTCTTCACTATGATTATTTTGACGAGAGCCTGATTCCACCACGCTGCCTCACATATATATATATCTTTTTCCTGGGCACTATTGTATTTTACCTTAACGCATGTTAAAGGGCATTTTCTTTTTCAGAAGCAGCAAAGCATATGTTTCATTACGTTTTCTCCATCTTCAAATCCCTTAGTATCAAAGTAAACCCCTTTCATGGTCAAAACCATATTGAACAAAACCACAAGCACAAGAGAAAACATTTCTTCAGCCAGCCAGCATTCTATACTCAACATCTAAGAAAGTTGCATCACAGAACTGACAACCTCATAAGGTGCTTACAGGACTACGCTATAGAGCAAGTCAATACATATGAGTAAAATGAGGAAACTCTAATACGGGGTGCCCACTACAGATGGGATCGCCGATCAGGCCGATCGCCCGACTCGGTTGCCTCAAAAACAAAAGTTTGTTTCTTTTCAATTTCGGGCAACCGAGTCGGGCGATCGTCCCGATCTAGCCATAGTGGGCACCCCGTATAACATTAATTTTATGATATACTTGTACCACTGTGTTAGATCAGAAGGCATCGTTTTGTGATGACGGACGACAGAGTTCTATATTTTATGTCCTGTGATATCGGCATGAGTCAAAAATTAGATCAAAGCAGGCTAGGAAAATCTGATTGCTGCGCAAGTGAGGAAGAAATTTAAAACATCACTGGAAACACACCCTCTTGTTGACAAGAATGGGCCCAATTCAAATACCTTGATTTGCTTTGCAAGAGAGGCATATCTTAGAGTTACACGATCTTTGCTAAACATTCGTAGACATAGTTCCGGAAAGCAGTGAAAGAATCAAGCAAGTTCTATGCCATTCACTAACAGGGAACGGAAACGTGTACATGGTTTACATACCATACCATCTTGGAAAATACCCTGGTGTCCACCAGAGGCAAAGATAATGCAGCAAAACAATACATATATTATATTGAAAATGTCTCACAATAAAACATATGGGTGTAAATTTTAAAAAAATACTGTTCTGCTTAATCCCTGAACCTCACCCTATTTTGCTAGGTGAATCAAAAGATTGTCAGGAGCCTTGAAAGCTTTAAAACAAGAAAAAAATGACACGATTTTAAAAGAACCTCAAGCCCACTTTTAATAATCTTGCTTCTTGGTAGAAAATATTTTCAGTAAAAGACAAGCTGTCACTAACTTTTGTATTTCTCTCTTTAACCCGACATCTTGGTTTTCCTATTCTAGTTTGGTTAGGAATAAATCTTTTATGTTCCATAGAACAAATTTATCCAGTTCTTGATTTTAATTATTGCTTACCATAGTTTTTTTAAAATTGGATATGGAATTTCATAGCTGGTAATAGAAAAAAATCACACACAATGCTCTCACCTTTCCCTTCTCAAATTTATTTTTGTTGGTCTTTGAGTACTTGAGGAAACGTTTTCCAGTGTCACCGAGATCTCCGAAGATGTTGATGTATACGTTGGCATCTGTGCCAGCATACGACTTCTTGGCTGTGTACACTTGTACCACATAGTGCACCACTGAAACGTATGGATGTTATACATAAATATTGACAGGGCTTAAACTCAAACCACAAAAGTTTGTGTATGTGTGTGTGTTTTGACGCGTGCCAGTATGCGTATGTAGTAAGCATGACACAGTAAATTTCTCTTTGTGGATTCTCATCTCATCTTATCTTATGTTACCTTATCTTATCTTATCTTATCTAACCTGGAAGGGGTTTTTTGATGCTGGGCGCCTCGGCTGGCATCTCCCGAACTATCTCTTTGTCGTCTTCGTCCTCTGCCAGCCACCTGTTGCACTTGAAGGAGTAACGCTCTTTGCTCTCCATGCTCTCCAGCTCAATCTGCGGACACAAGAACGACACCATCAATGTCATATAGGTTATCTCAGTATAATTTTTTATTTTCCTGTTATCCTCTCTCTTTCTTCTCTCTCTCTCTCTCTCTCTCTCTCTTTCTCTCTATCTCTATCTCTCTCTCTCTTTTTCTCTCTTTCCTCTCTCTCACTACTTAGTGTTAATGAGGTCAAGATCATGTTTAATCGTCTGAAAGCTCACAAAGTAAGTGGACCCGATGGAGTAAAAAGTAAAATTATCAAAATGTGTTCTACTCAGTTATCTCCCATTTATACAGATATTTCCAATATGTCTTTGAAAGAATGAATAATACCACTCTCGTTCAAAAGCTCTGAAATATTTCCCGTCCAAAAGAATCAATCAATACAAAATTTGAATGACCTTAAAACTGCGGCTTTAACATCAGTCTTTATGAAATGTTTAGAAAAAACTGGTTCTGAAAGAGCTCAGGAAATCAACAGAAGACAGACAGGATAATATGAAATTTGCCTATCGTGCGAAGAGGGGCGTAGAGGATGCCATTCTCGTGTTCTTAGATAACATTTACAAACACATAGACACACCAAGAAATTACTGCAGGATACTTTTGCAGATTTTTCATCCACTTTCAACACAATCCAACCCCTCAAAATGGTTTCAAAATTAATTAACATGAGCATAAACAATAACATTATAGCTTGGATTCTTAATTAAGTTCTTAACCAATCGACCTCAATATGTAAAATTAAAAGGCGTAAAATCCGACCTAATATTCACGAACACCGGTGCACCCCAAGGCTGTGTAATCTCCCCTGTCTTGTTTACGCTCTACACCAACGACTGTACTTTTGAAAACAAAAACATCAAACTAATAAAATTTGCGGATGATTCCATTTTACTAGGCCTTATAATAACAACAAATAAGAATGAATACAGGGGCGCTGTAAATGTATTTACAAATTGGTGTGATAACCACTTCCTTTTACTAAACATGAAAAACACAAAGGTGTTAATAAAAGATTTTAGAGTAAAAAAAGACCAATTGCAATTACTATTTATTTAAGATGAGGAGGTGGAGGTGGTAATTTCAGCTTTTACAAGTACCTTGGAGTAACAATTGATGACAAACTTGACTGGAATCCCCACGCTGCTCTTGGGCATTAAAAAGTAAATCAAAGAATGTTCCTTTTAAGGAAATTAAGAAGTTTCCGTGTTGATAACAAGAGTACGTCCCTTTTATACCTTTCTATGATTTAAAGCATGCTATTATTTTGTATTTGCTGCTAGGCTGGGAATTGTAGGGTGAAAGATAAAGAAACATTTGACAGAACCACTAAGAAAGCCAGCAAAATCTCTGGACATGATTAACTAGAATTGATAAAATGTATAACATCACAAGTATAGAAAAGATAAAAAGCATTATAAACGACCCATCACACCCCCTTTCCATGCAAATTGTCAGATCATGCAGCGGCAGATAATATGTAGCCTACCTCTAAAAGCAAAGAAAGAGAGATATTAGGGAAGTTCTTTACCATCTAGCATAATAAGGCTATTGTCAGAATAAGCATAAATGTGTTTTGCTCTTTAGAGTAGGCTTATGTATCTATATAACTCCAAAGGCCTTGTAATTAAATTCCTGCATGTGATTGAATGATGCATCTGATGTGATATGTACATTCTATCAGCTTTATTTCTCTTTTCATATTGAATTTTAATGAGAGTAATATATAATCTAAATTTTTAAAAGTATACCTGCATGTGTTTTTACGGTCCTGTACAGCCAAGAAAAATTTCCCTCTGGGACAATAAAGTATTATCTTATTTTATCTCTCTCTCTCTCTCTCTCTCTCTCTCTCTCTCTTTCCCTCTCTCTCTTTCTTTTCCTCACCACCTGTCTCTTTGTCTTGCTGTTGTATAATCATCAACCCACATGTTTTCCTTTATCTGTAGTCTAAATGAGCTCATAAAATTTTAACTTTCTTTTATTCAATTTACAGAACAGAATAATCATCAGAGGATTTAAACCAGTGTTTGTCAACCAATGTACATTCAGTGCCCACTTTTGTCAACTTTAAAAGGGAAACATTTTTGTCGGGCCCACCTTCACATATTTCCAATTAGGACATAAAACAGTAGACCTGCCTATAGCACTACCTGTGGCTAGCCCAGGATAGGAAAAAGTGGAAAGTGTTTGTTCGTGGCCCATACCCTGATGCAGAGGGAGCAACGCAGTGTTGATGATGAATGACTACCCGCGTCTCGTGTGATCCCCACCGCCCACCAACATTACCAAATTACCCACTAGTAGGTGACACGCCTAAGCTGGTAAACACTGATTAAAACCTTGTCCAAAGCTTTCTGGACACAAACAGTCACAGTACCTACCTTGTCAAGATGCCAGCCGGCGAAGGTCCCTGAGTTGTCGTGCCACACCCTCAGTTTGTATGGCTTGCCCACCCCCACTGTGTTGAACCGGAACGTGTCCATGTTGCCCTTTTCGAAGCTGTCCCCCTTGTTGCTGAGCGGAATGTCGTCAGACTTGCCCTTGTCCCCGTAGATGGTGATGTAGACATTGGCGTCAGTACCTGCGCTTTTGATATCGCTTGTGAACACCCAAGCCTGCCAATTAACCTCTGTAACAGAAAATAGAAAGGGAAACATTCACATGATCTTTCTGTCTGTTTACTGTTGTTCTTTTATCTTTTCCAATATTTCACCTTTATTTAGCAACAAAATGCGAGGACTTCAGGACCATTAATCTAATGCCACATATCATTAAATATTTTTGAAAGTCATTTCGATGAGAATCAAGGGCAAAATTGACAAAGAAATCGGAGAAGAACAGTACAGCTTTAGGTCCGGAAGTGGCACCAGAGAAGGAATCTTCTGCATGAACACAATAGTACAGAAAAATATTCAAGTCCAAAAATACCTTTTTGCTTGCTTTATTAACTACTTAATAGTTTTTGACAAAATCCATCATATCAGGCTGATTGAGTGTTTGGAGAAGATAGGTGTTGATGATAAAGATATGAGAAGCAAAGGAAATCTTTACTGGCAGAAGGAGGCAGCAATTACAATTTTAAATGAAATATCAGAATATATTAAAATTCATAGAGGAGTGAGACAAGGTTGTGTCCTCTCTTGTTATTGTTTTAACATCTATACAGAGTTTATTTTTAGAGAATATCAAAACCTGCTGGAAGTCACTATTGGGGGCCGCAACATCAATAACCTGAGATAAGCAAATGATTCAATTCTGCTTGCAAAACACAAATGAAATATCTTTCTAAAATTGTCAAAGTAGTGAAAGTGAACAGCAGCAAGGCAAGCCTCGACATGAACACCAAGAAAACAAAAGCAATGGTCTTATCAAAATATTCTGGAAAAACAACAGACATCACCATAGATGGGGAGAGAATCGAACAAGTGCTCCGATTCAAGTATCAAAGGGCAAAAGTCAAAGATGATGGTAGAAGTGAAAAAGAAATAAACATAAGAACAGCAGCTGCAAAAACAAGATTCAGCCACATGTACAAACTATTTACATCCAGGCATCTATTTCTCACTTTAAAAAAGAAAATGCTGGAATGTTACATACTCCCCATATTCCTATACGGTGCAGAGACCGGGATTTTGACAAGGAAAGAAGAAAACAAAATAAATGTGAAGGAGATGTGGGGCTACCTTAGAATGGCCAGATTAAGTAGGAAAACAAAACAGAAAAACAAAGAAGAGTGTCATCTACACCGAAGACAGAGAGAAAGAGAGAGAGAGAGAGAGAGAGAGAGAGAGAGAGAGAGAGAGAGAGAGAGGGAGGGAGGGAGAGAGAGAGAGAGAGAGAGAGAGAGAGAGAGAGAGAGAGAGAGAGAGAGAGAGAGAGAGAGAGAGAGAGAGAGAGAGAGAGAGAGAGGACAGACATACAGACAGAGACAGCGACGCGGAGTTAGAGATAAGTGTATGAGTGTGACTATATCAGCTCTTTTAACACGACATAAAGAGCCATCCACCTCAAAACAAGCCCTTATTGATAGCGCTGAGCTGCAGCGTGCATAACTTGAGCCTCGAACCTTTGACCTCTCTACAGCTAGACCACTTCCAAGAAATCAAAACATGAGCTAATTCCAAGAAATCCTCACCGTGATGCTGTCCAGAAACCATCCACTGGCCGCCCCTGAATCATCATGGCCCACCTCTACCTTGGACAGCGGACTCAACATCTTGGCCACATCCACATTGAAGATGTCCGTCTTGTTCCGCTCAAAGTCCCCGCCAGACTCCAACCAGATTTTGCCACTTGTCTCGCCACCCTTTACGATAAATTGAGGTAATATTATCATTCTTATCATCATTTTATAATAATAGTAATACAAATAATAATAATAACAACAATAATAACTATAGTAACAAAAACAATAATAACAACAACAACAATATTTAAATAAAAAACAATAATAATAGTAATAACAGCAAAAATAAATATAACAATATAACTAATACAACATCCTGGAGCTAACCAACCCTCCCTACCTCACCCCCACTAACAATAAAAAGTAAACAAACAAAAACACCCCCCCCCCCAAACCCCCCCCCAAAAAAAAAACAACAAGACAACAAAAAACAAAACAACAACAAAGAAAACAAAGCAAAACCATAAAAAAACGATAAAAAAACGAAAAAAGAAATCCAAAGGGCGCTCTTAACAAAAAGGAAAAACACAACAACCACAGTCTCATATTATACCTTTTCTCCGCCGTACAGTACCAGGAACACCCTGGCGTCCGTGCCGGCATTCTGCTTGTCGCCCGTCTTGACAGTTATGATGTACGGGTAGCCTGGGATGGGGAAACAAAGGTAGAGGGCGGGGAGAGATCATTACTACAGTTTTCTTTTGTAAAACCCACAATCACACATACAAACTATATATATATATATATATACATATATTGCAATATTTCTAAGTGCCTGTATGTACCCAATAACACACACGCTCTCTCTCTCTCTCTCTCTCTCTCTCTCTCTCTCTCTCTCTCTCTCTCTCTCTCTCTCTCTCACACACACACACACACACACACACACACACACACACACACACACACACACACACACACACACACACACAAACTGACATAATAATGGGTGTCTTATTGCTATTTTGATAAGAAGGGAAACAGTTGAAGACAAAATTAAATAAGATTGCCAGAAGCACCCACCAACCATCCGCATCGCAGTACAGACGAAGGTATAATTATGTGGTGTTGAATTATGTATTACCTTATATTAAAATATGCGGATTTTAAACTTTAGATTTAACATATTATTCTGGGGTTGGTTTTTTTTTTTTTTGGGGGGGGGGGGGGTTCTGTAATACATTGTAGCACGTTGCGCTGTGAGAAACAAAACCCCCCCACAAAAATCTATCATACCTTGGTTGAAAGAGAACTATCAAATACGTTTGAAAACTAACTGTTCTAATGATTAAGAGAAACATTGAAATAAAACCAAAAAGGCAAAAGACAAGAATAATAACATATAATAAGGAAATGAAAAAATTTACGAGAAAACTATCGTCAAGACAAAGGCAGCACTACGGAATATAACACGCTCGGGTTTGGGGTAAATGCAAAAAAGAATAAACTACGGCTGAGCTTACCAAACTACACTATGTCCATTTTGATCCATTACCTAACAGATACATTTTTGTTGCTTTACGTGGTTCCGTGTTTGTCTGGACAAGATTCTTACAGAGAACTTCACAAAAGTAATACTTGTATAACGTAAATTATGAATTTAATGTAGTAAGCCTATTGCAATTAGGTTTTTTGTTTTGCACAATTAAGAATAAAGCAAGCAAATTACCAAGTCTAACTAATCGTTAGCTCTTTTCCACTTGACGCTTTCTATTTCTTTAAATTACCCCCCCCCCCCAAAAAAAAAAAAACCCAAACAAAAAAAAACAACCAAAAAAACAAACCAATAACAAAAAAACAAAACAAAAAAACAGCAACAACCCCCCCCCTAAAAAAACAAACACGCTCACGCAAAAACAAAAACAAAACAAAACAAAACAAAAACTACCCCACCCACACCAAAAAGCATACAAAAAGGAAAGGGGGGGGGGGGGGTTATACAATCACATACATAAGAATAAGGACATAAGAGGCTCTCCTCTTATTTTTGACGCTAGCTACAGTACTCAATAGGACGGTGGAGAGAAATGCACAAAAAGGAACACGTAATTTACGCCGAAAGCAACACTTTGAAAGCTCGCTCCACATAACTATTTTAAGCAGTACAATATGTTTCACTGACGTACTGACATGCACCACGAAGCAATCATGGATCCAAGCGAGGGTGAGAAAAATATTTTATCAACACAAATGATAATAATAATAATAATAATAATAATAATAATAATAATAATAATAATAATAATAATAATAATAATAATAATAAAATAATAATAGCAACAATCTCACGGACCCGAGGGTATCTGCATTTTTATAATTTATACCTATAACTACAAAATTAATGAGAAATTTATTATGTTTTATCCTTACTTGGTTTTTGCATAAGGAATCAGGTAGGTTAGTACTTTGTGTGACGCTAGATCAAAATAGAATGTTCCTGGCGACTTCACGTAATTCAGAAGAAAGTTATCCTTAGAAACGTTCCATATAACCAGGTTTTGTTACATACTTCGTCAGTTCAGACTGATAGAATCAACCTCAGACAAACGTTTACTACAGGATAGGGAGATCAAAATGAGTTAATCAACAGAAAAGACCCACACATAGAAAAGGATTGAGGAACTAAATTCTATCAGTAATATTACGCTACGAAAACCGACAAGACCATGCTTGTTTTAAACCAACAAAGACACATCCTTAAAATAAACACACAGAGACATTATCAAAGGATCATGTCAATGAAGTTTAGTATTTTGCCCCTGACACATTATCTCCCCCCCCCCAACCCCTCCCCACGTTCTCCCTTATCCCTTACACTTGGATACTGGATAAACATTTGTTGATGCTGTTTTGATGACATAACTCTGCACTGCAAGTTTTCTATTCTTCTGAAAACAGCTTTTGACACAGTTCATATCACTGAGCGGAAAACTGATTGGGTTTCAATGGCCTCATGGCACTCTTCCCGTGAAGAGAGGTCAACCCGACTAATGTAGGCCTTATGTATACACAACATAATATACATTATTATAAATTATAGGCCTAGGCCTATACATCTAGAGTCACGTGCGCGTAACACCAGTCACTCAAAAACTCCTAATCAACAATTACAAAAATGCAGGGCGCACTAAATGTAGAAAGAACACCACACATAATTATGCAGTTATCATCAGAAGATTAAAAAAAAATTGTGGACTTTTTT